GGGGGGGGGACAGAAAATTTTGTCTGATGAAGATGCGTGAACGCCTAAAAACTTTTCGGGATTCTTCCCAAAATTTTTGCAGGACCATAACCTCGAAATTTTAGAGAAGATGGTTGCAGTTACGCCCTCGAAAATATTTTTTTACAAGTCTAATTTGAATGTTTGAAAATTTCTAAAGATTATATCAATTATTTACAAGTATCAACAAGTCGCTTGCAAATCTTTATTACTCATGTTAGTAACTCAAAATTTTCACGACCCGTTCTCGGGGCGCCCCTTCGGTAGCCTGCGACAAATTTTTTTCGAAAGGGAGGTGTGGGGGGGGGGGCAATTACTGGCTTCTCACCCATCCCACATTAGCTTCTTGAAGACTCTTATTTGTAATTTGATAGAACTGATAAAGTAACAGGAAGTCACTGACGTTTGAAAAATTTCAATTATTTCGGGCATGCAAAAATTGCAGGTATTTTTTCCACTTCACTGCTTCCAAAATTATAAACCCCATGGTCCTCATTACACGAAGGTTGAATTTACCAGGGTTATTATTGGGCATCCTGTCGGTGTCAAAATGGCTAATTAACCCCGACTTTGTCTACAGATCCATACCCAAGGCAGATGGTGTGAGATTGCGACGATTTGCGCGCAAGCGGCCATCTGTCAGCTGCCAGGATAGGGGGAGAGTGGTTTCGATTGCTCTGTTCGTCCATATATTCATGTATTCAGTGGAATTCGACTCGGGGCCTCTCACTACAGCGCTTTACGAGTAATCGGATAGCGTTAACGAATGCAGGCAGCGTTCGGCTGCGCCTTCTCACTCACACCCCGCTCCCCCCATAAACTGGATCGTTTCGGCATAAATACCAACTACACGCTTTATAGAGCTGTATAACCTTCATGTCAGCAATTTTATAGCATACGAAAGACTGGAGGAGCTGGCTGGCACGAATTTAGGAAAATAGAGCGTTCCATTAGGGCGAATCCTAGTTTTGTCGATGAATTTAAAAACGCCGGCGAGTGCGTGCCAGCCTCAGCGCTTTCGTTTCCTAAAGACTCTGTACTTTTCTAAGTTAAGAAGATACAATATTTTTCGTCATAATCTCTCATCAATCTTTTTTTCTTTGATAATGCGTTTGGCGCCGTATATTCCTATCACCTTCGCTGCAACACCTTTATTGCTCACTATCTGCCTTTCTCCTTGCTACGATCAATTTTTTTCTGATTTTTACAAAAATCCTTTTTTGATAGAGGACATGTGTGTATACATGTATATATCCTCATCCTCTCTACCGGACGCTTTGTGCAATTGCACTACTTTCTGATTCGTTACCGGCCACGCTATATGACAGTCTGGTCATGATAGCTGACGCCCTTCCACTTCATGTATTTTCTTATGATTTTTAGTTTTATACTACATCTCTAATCGTGATTATGATGTCATCAGTTTGCACCAGTGCAAATTCTTGAAATGGTGCAATTACACAAAGCGACTAGTCAGATGTGGAAGTCTCTAGTTATATTCGATGAATGATACTAGTGAACCAGTAACCTCTAAGGTGCTGAGCAGCGCGCTCGCTTCGGGACCCGCTCGGGTTTCCGTTCTTTGATGATTTTTGAATGCACCTTACGATTCTTTATATAATAGATTTGCACTACTCTTCTCAGTAATTCCAAAATCGGAAAATATCAAGTTTACCAGAACTTAGCACAGCTGCTTATCGAAATTGTGCCCATTTCGCGTGGCAAGGCCTTTTTATAGGGTTATAGGGCTAGTAGGAATACGGTATTTCGCGTATGGGATAAGAGCTGAAAGGTCCACTCTTGAAGTAAAGGCTCACTGTGGGATAAAGGCAAGATCCCGTACCATATGCCTACCGTAGCTCAATCATGAATCCTTATGAGGATCAAATGTTCATGTGTGATCAGCATGTCAGACTATGCGTTTCTATCAAGTACTGTATACCCCTACCGTCAGTAGCGACCCCCCCCCCGAGAGTTTACTTACATGGGTTATAAAATTGTGCGAGTGGGTTGTTCATTCTTGTAAATTTATTTATTTTTTGAATTTTTTCAAAAAATTCAAATTAGCCTTGTGAAGGAAGTTTTTTCACCCCAAAAGTTTTTGCGGAGTGCTAACGCTACGCACCTTTATCTACAAAAGATTTTTGCCCCCCCCCCCGGACGGAAATCCAGCGACCGTCATGCCTACCGTATACCTACCGTTAAACTGGGAGGCCGTCACGGGAATGAAAAGGCCGTTTCACGAAGCAAGCTTATGCAGAATTCGAGTAATCCCTTATATTCGTCTTTTATTTGAAGTAAAACCTTACAAAAATAAGCCATCTGACTGAAAAAAACCGTAACTAATTTGAAAACCTCATTTTTTTCAACTTCCTCTCTTTTGCTCTCTTGGAGAACCAAGTGCTTGTCACGTTTCATACTCTCTCGTGTCAGTGCCCACTATACTTCTTATACCCATATAACCCCTCGATAGTTTACACTTCAGGAAACATTCTAAAATTATACAAAACTTGTCGGTCTCAGGTCGTCGCGCGCATGGGGATGACTAATCGCTGTTCCTATTCGGCGCAGATGAGTCAATTCTTCAAGCGGTTGTTGGGTCGCACGGTGTAAAGTTGATGATAGGCGATGATTCATTCGGTTTCAATCGTTCGTCGTTCTCTCTTCACTGTGTTGTTATCATATCGTATTACTTATACAGCAGATTTGATTCTGATGGTGTCAGCTGCAGCGCAAAAAAAACATCCGTGCGCTTTTGAAATCATTCCTTTATAATCTGAGCCCTTATGTCATCGAACACTGATTAATTTCATCGTCTTATCGACAGTTCAAAATATTCTTACTCATTTAATTTCGGTTTATCATATGTACTTTATTTTGTTTCAAATCATACTGTTACTGCCAAACCAGCGAAAATCGGAAAGTTCGTTGGAATTATGAATGCAGCTGCCATACTACGGTAAACCAGCTGAATATTGATTTTTTGCCTCGGTTTCTATCAGCCGCCGTTGCGTACGCAACGCGTTGCTGCACACGTCGAGTGAAATAGAGCTTGAGAGACTAGTAATGCTCAAAGGCAAACATTGGTATGGCTTGGTCTAGTTCTTAGGATTTTTGTAGTTGGTAAGGTTACTAACATTAATGTCATGAATTATAATGTGAAATAAAACCGATACGTCAAAAATCAAGGCTTTTGAAAGAGGATTCTTAATTCAACCTTTGATTCAACTGTTTGGCTCCACGAAGGCGGGGCTCTGTGACCTAATTCAGTCCGCTCGCGCACGCGACGTGCCTGCGCCTCTCTCGTGCGAGTGCTCTCTGATCATTACCTAGCCTCAATTAGGTCACGAAACCCCGCCTTCCCGAAGCCAAGCCAGTTGAATCAAATGGTACAATAACATACACATTGGCATTCTAAAAGAAAACCTTTTTGTCATCAGATTTATATTTATTATATGATTCAACGCACCCCTCAACAAAGGGACATTAAAATATGAAAACGAAACTCATAACCCTTTCAGTGCAAACGAGAAGTTCCAGATTGTATTGCATTGAATTCTTATCATTATTTGTTTTTGACTTTTGCAGCTTGATAAAAAATCAAATCGGAAAAATTACATATTTTATTCTGTATTGCTTCTCATCTTTTACCCTTTTATCTTATAGCGAATTATCAAACGTTGAAAAAATTGCAAGTGTCATTTGCTTGTTGCAATCTCAAACCGCCGTTCCTTGACTCAACACCTTTCAAATCACTTTCTGAATTGTCACTCTAAGAAAAAAGATATCTCTGCTGTAGACTTTTTTTTATTGAGTCATGACTTCTTGATGCCTGCTTTGGAACAGGCATATTCATTCTGGATCCTGTAGGATGTCTGTGCAAGCTTTTGCTAATAAAATTGATGCCAGGGAAATGAACTATACAAAAACCTCGCTTTTCATTTGCTCAATGTCTAGCTTATTTGCCAAATGCAGGTGTACCATTTCTTGTTTTCCTCAAATTGAAAGTGGAAGGGGTGGTCACATGAAATTCTATTCCATGCTCCTATTGAAATTTTGAGAAGTCAAAATTCACCAATATCATTGAGTAGTTGCTACATAGCAGTAGAGAAGAAATCATGAGATTATCTATTTTAATTTAATTTTCTGCAAAAATACTCACTCAGTTGCACTAAATTACTGCAATATGCTTCTGCTCTCAAAAATTTCGAAATACTTCCGATTGGTTCTGTTGCCTGTACAAATCTTCCCTATATAGATTCAGTTTTGTTACTCGTGCCTATGATTTTATTCCTATTTTTGTTTTTTCAATTTCATTTATTGCGAAACCCATTCGGCGAACTATATTAGTCATTGCAGTTCAGTCTACGACTAACCTGTTCCTGGCCTTTCAAGTGGGAAGACGCTCTTTCATAGTTTCTGTATTTGATGTTTTCCATCTCTGCCAGCAAAAGACGTCATCTTGAGATCTCATGAATTTTTTAAGAAAACGTCGTTCAAATATATTATTTTGTTGCCGGAAGTTTAGTTACATAATTTTCCAGCATCTCATGGCACTAATCCAAGATACTTTTTTTCTCCAAAGCCGGCTTTCCTCACTTTTTTTCAGACTGGAAGAACTGAGGCTTTTTTTTTTCGAATATGTTCAGTCTCATTCGATCTACATACATGTAAAAATGAGTATAACTGACACTTTAACCGAATTTTATTTTTGGTTTTTCTACAGACGTCACTTTAATTTCCTTCTTTTAAAGTGAGATGCGCTTAATGTTTTACAAAGGAGGCATTTTTGACCTTTCAAAAAAGAAATTTTGCTGCACAAAAGTACTTTGCCTATTCGTGTGATGCTTCTTAAAGGCAGTGTCTCGGCGGTATTTCGTTTCCAGTTTTTCAGCTTTGCGGAGCCTTCTCGCCAAGAAGAATCATATTTGGGCTTTCTAGCACATGGAAGTGTCGAAAATGAGCTTTTCCCGAAGCTTTCCAGGTCCGCATTCTGTGAAGATTCGCTGGACGTCTTCTGCGCTCCATCCCTCATTTCAGGCTCCGCCCACTTGCGCGTATTCTACTCGAAAATCGGACCTTGTAAGTTTTGGAAAAAAGCTCATTTTTGCCATTTTCATGCGCTAAAAAGCCAGATATGGGTTCCTTATGGCGAAAAGGATCCGAAAAAGTGAAAATCTGGAAAACGAGATTCTGCCGAGACACTGCCTTTAAGTTATCACGTACTGCTACATGCTTTTCAATATCAAAAAGCGCTATCTCGGCTGTTACTATCATTTGTAGAAGTAAAAAATGTGGGAATACGTGCGACACAAAAAGCGCTGATTGTGGAAAAATATCTTGCGCTCCTAGTGTAAGCAAAAATTCTTGAGCAAGATCTTTTTGTACTTTGTATTTATACTGCATGACTTGTCTTGGGCTTATTCAGCAATTAATGCGTTAGGCATACATAAAATGCTGCATGACCTCTCTTTTAGACATATAACCTTGCCAGCGCCTCTATTATGCTCTTCGTCTTTCAAGGATGTCCTCGCTTCTTTCATTTTTTATGCCTAGCGTCACTTATCTCATGTCGCAGCAACGTCCATTATAAGTCAACTTTGATATATTCAAAGTTGATTTTTCAATCTATTTTATAAGTGAGTAAAAACGAATTGGATAAAATATCAGTGGTATACATACTATAGATGGGATTCGAACTACCGACTTTTGATAAACTTGGGAAAATGATGCGTATGCAAATTTGTTGTAGGAGGGTGGATAATGAGGGAACTGTGGACGAAGTAAGGCCTGAATTGTGTCAATGTGTATCAAACGCAGTTTCAAGCTAAATCTGGCGGGATTAGACATTAGTCAGACTAGAATCCGAAGGTAAAAAGTGGGAAAATGGAACGCTCTCAAGCGGGAAGAGTTACTTGGATTGTGATTTCTTTTCCATGCTTTGGCAGCTCGGTGTCAACAATGGAGAAAGCCAAAGGTTTATACTACTTTTTTATTAGGTTGGAAACTAAGTTTTGCAACTGGTCTCATAACTTCCCTCTCACTCAACATGGCGCACTCAAAATTTGCCACTGTGTTGATTGTTATGTAAGCTACAAGCGCAGCTGCTGTTCTACCAAATTCTGACGTCGCAGTGAGGATTACGGTAGGTGTATGGTATGAAGGGGAAAAATTCAAAGTTTGACGGATTTGGCCGAAACTTGGCATAGGTGTGTTATCCGACATGCTGATCGCGAAAACGATAGTGAAATTATGTGATAAGGGCTTTTTTGTAGGAATACTTTAGGTGTACGATATGGGGTCTCACCTCGAACAAGGAAAAAGGCATTAATTCAACAAATAAATATGATATTCGCGTTCGGCAGGTCAAATAACCTTACTATGTAAAGTCTCGGCGGAATTTGAGCTTCCGACTCTTTAGTCACTGACGGTCGTCCTAGCAGCTCTTGCGTACATCGACTCGTTCGACTTTGTGAGGACACCAAATTTCGACATGCCCTAAATTTTGTTTCTTTCTTGGGCCAAAGGAGCCAACCTCCAGCAATAATTTTTAGACGAATCCGGATTACTGCGCGTGGTCTAGGCTGCTAAAGGCTTCATTTTATCTTGAAACCCCAAAAATTCTTAAATTTCACTAGTTTTCGAAAAATGCCTGAAAATTTTCCATTTCGCGTTCAAAATTCAAAGTTTGCGCGTGCTTGTAGCACACATTAGTCTCTACATAATGCCAAAATTTGAGTGCGCCACGTTCAGTGAGAGGGAAGTTATGAGACCAGTTGCAAAACTTAGTTTCCAGCCTAATATATTTTAGCCTCACAAAATGAGTGCGCGAAAATCGTAGATTGTATGGAATGAAATAATAACTAGGCTATTTAACCACCAGAAGACAGAATACTCTACTTTCTGGGATTTATAAGCCCTTTTGTACGCTTTGGCTAATAAAAGAGAAAATATATGTGTTACTTCTTAGTATCGTTCCTTTCCTTGGACGGAGTTTGACTTGATATCTAAGTCTCCCCCGGAACTCCTCAGTAAGGAAAAAAGACTTAGTATCAAGTAAAAAGTTGAAATTTAGAAATTTTTGTATTATCTTTGATGACAATACATCAAGTTAAATTTAAGTAAAAATGTAGCACGACTTACAGGCAATGGCGCTGATCCCATTAGATAGCCGCATAAAGTTGTAAATGCATAATAAAGTTACTTTTTTATCTTAAACTGTCATTATTCTGTTTACATTGTTCATTATTTACTCACAGTTCCATTTTTGCAGACTTTTATAATTTTACGGTTGAATATTCGCAACTAATATGTATAAGATCTGTTATACTTGCAATTTCAGCTAGGAGTTTATTTTTTGCTAAAGTTGCGTTTTCTAACGCATCCATCGCTTTTATAAAAGCGATTTTCACCCCTTTACATCTCCGTTAGAAAGATAAAAAAGATAAATATTCCATTACAAAGACATTAGGTACTTCACTTACTCCCAAGTATTTTTACTAAAGGTCAGCGCAAATCGCAAGACATCGGTATAACATATTAGGGAAGCGAAGTTTGAGTGGGGCACTGAGCGGTAGATAGAAAAAGGAGGTGCTTTTTTGGAGTTTTTTTCTCGTGACAATCATTTAATAATCTATCACCATGTTAATAGCATGACTCGTTACTGAAAGTGTTCAGAAAGTTAGGAAAGTTTAATGCCCTCTCCTCTCCTTTAAGTAATTTTTGATGTCATTGTCATTTGTTGAAATGTAGCTTCAAAAAAAAAATTGTACGCGTATCAATCATAGTTACAAATTATAAACAAGAAACTCTGACATTGCTTAACAACTTATATTAGAGAGACTTGATTTCTTTTTCTGCTGCAAAACCAAAATTTCGTGTTTGGTCTCTTGATCTGGCCTTAACTTCCGCCTCTCCCTTCCATCTTTTTCCAGAATTCGAACATATAAGGAAAGACCAGCTTGTGCAAATCTACTGGCACCAGCATCCAAAGGCATCATCTTTCCATTAGCTTCACGAAATGACACTAATTGACTTACGAGCATACGATGTTGTTGTCTTCGCAAACACATTGATGAGGACAGTTGGTAACTGCTCTTGTGGCCACAATGCATATCGAGAGCAGAATCAGAGCCGTTGCGGTTACTCTGGAATAATATCAATCATCATGATAGAGGATGTTTTGTTACAAAGGAATAAGTCTCACAGATCTAACTTCTAGTGTGCTTGCGCTGCTGACAACACTTGCGCGTAAGGAATCGCATGACGTAAACTTGAAAACGCCATTTACGGCCATTTTTTTACGCGCAAACATTGCACCTCAGGGTGGAACTATGAGGTACCTAATTCCGATTCTAACAAAAAATTTATTCGATGAGAAACTATTTGGTGCGTCACATAGCGCTTCGTTCTGTGGAGTTATAGCAATCTATAAGTTTTGCAAATATGACACACGTAAAACTTTTCACATCTCTATGCCTTTCTCCACACCCGTGAACATCATTTTTCTCATTACTAGCTTTTCAGGTTGGAGAGATCTCTAGAATCGCTTTTGTAAGTTTGACTTTATGACATATTAGCTGGCTTACCCGGCTCCGCCGTATCCGGACCAAACTTGGCACACATACACTTCGGGCCCCGGCAGGTGTCACAGTCCACTTTTTGTTATCGATCGATGTCGATTTTACCGATTTTTATCGATTTTTTTGCAGAGTTCACCTACAGGGCTAGGAGTTGGCACAGGGGGGAAGTGAGCATGGGGATTCCGAATACAATATTAGTTTTCAGAATTATTGATTACTTTTATTGATTTTATCGATTTTTGTAAATTTTGACATGCGAGGCTGGGATTTTGCACAGGGGTAATCGAGCATGCTGATTACGAACACAATATTAGTTTTCAGGATCGTCCATTACTTTTACCGATTTTATCGATTTTTTTGTAAAGTTTGACCTGCGGGGCTGGGAGTTTGCACAGGGGGTAATCGAGCATGCTGATCATCCCCCTTGGGGATGATCAGCATGCTCGATTACCCCCCCCCCGTGCCAACTCCCAGCCCCCTAGCTCAAATTTTCCAAAAAATCGATAAAATCGATAAAAGTAATTGATAATCCCGAAAACCAATATTGTATTCGGAATCCCCATGCTCGATTACCCCCCTGCGCCAACTCCCAGCCCCGTAGGTGAACTCAGCAAAAAAATCGATAAAAATCGATAAAATCGATATCGATCGATGACGAAAAGTAGCCTATGACACCCGCCGGGGCCCGAAGTGTATGTGTGCCAAGTTTGGTCCGGATCGGTTCAGAAATGGAATTTTCTATTCGGAACATACGTACACACAGACATACATACAGACAGACAGACAGACAGACAGACATACAGACAAACAGACATTCAGCTTTATATATAAGATGTTAAAGCGTAACCTTCTCTGCCTATTAACCAAGAACGAAACTTTCAAAAATGCGGTTTTGAGTTTGATGCTGAAAAATTGCGAAGGGCCTGTAGCTAATCCCAAAAAAAATCCATGGAGATTTTTCGCAAGCGGTAGTTGATTACTTCTAGAGGGCTTCAATATCGCACGGAAATGCAAAAGCAAAAAATCAATCGAAAATGTCCTTTTTTGCAAGAAGAATCCCAATAATGCAGCAGTTTCTTCGCAGAAATGCAGTCCGAGACCAGAAAGTGACCTATACCTGAAAGACTATGGCTTTTTAAGCGTCGTACAATGTTTTTGCTGCAAAAAGTTACTCATTTATTAGCTAGTAGAAAGTTAGGCTTCGACATCTATCATTGTGCGCAAATGTTCATGTATTTTTGCAAACACACAGGTGAATTCACATCTGATGCTGAAAAAGTCATTGAATTTTGAAATGTGCAAGAACTTTTGCATCGACCTGATACAGAAAACGGACATTTGATTTGTTTGTTTTGCAAATAAAAAATTAGATGAGTCAGTTACAAAACAGTATCATTGTTTACTTTGGTACTGCAGCGTTCCAAATGATTAGACAGACTTGACTTCGAATTATCAAGCAGATTTTCTTTTCCTTTCACTGTAACCATGTTCAATATATTC